TATGAACTTCTGTTTATTGCTGTACTACGGTCATCGTTTTTCTGGTTTCATTTGCTCCTCCCACACCCTGAAACAGTTTTTTATTATCCCCCCTTTACAGAGGAGGAAAGTGAAGCTCAGGGAGGTTAAGTGACTTGCCCAGAGTCACACAGTTAGGAAGTAGAAGATCAGGGACATGAACCCCTGTCGGTCTGACTGGAGTTTGTGCCCTTCCCATGAAGGGGAGGAAGGCAGGTGTCATCATGTATCTGATAGCTGCAGCCACACAGAGAGGTGCAGTAACCTCCTCAAAGTCACACTGCAAGTTTGGGTGAGTTGCTGAGACCAGGACAGGGCCCGTGGATTTAGGCGTTTCTCCTAGAAACCCCGCTTCCCCACAGGACCTTTCTGTGACCTGTCCTACCCCACCCCCAAGTTGGGGCTCTGTCCCATCTACCCACCCACCCACCGTGGTGGTAGAGGTGAGGCGATGGGACAAGATGGGACACTGGTCCGTGGCGGTGACGATCAGGGTGTAGCGGCCATGGCTGATCTCGTAGTCCAGCTCCTTGGCAGCATAGATGACGCCCTGCAGGATAAGTAGAGGGGACGAGGGTGGATCAATAGGTGGTGGGTCTGGGGCTCCCTCTGACCACCCCAGGAGGGAGGTTGGCCCTAACGTCCTGGCCGTGACAGGGAGCCCCTGTTGTCCTCTAAACCAGGCCCCACCCAACCTTTTCATCCTCCCGTACTGGCTGCCCCCCCAGTTTCCTCCCGGACTCCATCTTTGCTCTGCTCCCACCCCCATGGTGTCACTGAGCTCCCCTCCAATCCCTATGGCCAGCTGACCCTCTTCCTGGACCCCGCCACCAGCCACTGACCGTGTGCCTGTCGATGTGAAAGGTGTCGATGATGTTGCCGGCAACGATGGCATAGGTAACTGTGCCGTTGGGCCCCTCATCCGGGTCTAGTGCCTGGACGGTGACGAGGCTGGCGTTGATTGTGTCCGGGCCCTCATCCAGCAAGATCTCGTAGTGGGGCTGCCGGAACGTGGGCGCGTTATCGTTCTCGTCCACGATGGTCACATACACGTGGGTGGTGGCCTATGGAGAAGAGCATGATCAGGTTCCTTGGTCAGCTGGCTAGAGGGTTTGAGGTGGAGCCAGCTGGATGTATTCCTAGGCTGCACTTACTCAGTGTGGTGAGGGAAAGGGAGAAGGATGAGAGCGAGGGAAGTCCCAGGCTGAGAGAGGAAATCACAGAGGCTCTGTCAAAAGCCAAGCTAGGTAACTGCTTAGGTCCGAGATGGTACTTGCACCACCACTCTTATTGTCCATGACATCACTAATCAATCACGGCACTGCTGAGGCCAGATGCAACCTCAGGATCCTTGTTAGCACACTGATCTAGTGATTATAATTGGCATATGAGATGAACTCCAGTAACTGCCTCCGGCCCATAGCTTTTTTTTTTTGAATTTTATTTATTTTTTTATACAGCAGGTTCTTATTAGTCATCCATTTTATACATATTAGTATATATATGTCAATCCCAATCTCCCAATTCATCACACCACCCCCCTCCGCGACTTTCCCCCCTTGGTGTCCATAGGCTTGTTCTCTACATCTGTGTCTCTATTGCTGTCCTGCATCTGTACCATTTTTCTAGGTTCCACATATATGCGTTAATATACGATATTTTTTTTTCTCCTTCTGACTTACTTCATTCTGTATGACAGTCTCTAGATCCATCCACGTCTCTACAAATGGCCCAGTTCCGTTCTCCAGCCCATAGCTTTGACTGGGCCAGGGCCTTACTGACCCTGGGCCTCCTTCCAGATCACAAAAAGCAAGAATGTGATGTACTCAGCCCACCCGCTTAAGCTTCACCCATTGTCCATGTAAATGGAAGCAATGCCTATTCTCAGCATTTCTGAGAGGAAGGACATAGGGTGTGGGGCTACTACACGTGCAGGATTTGTTGAGCTGTGAAAAATAAAGCTCATAGCGCATGACTTCACTGCAAGGACAATTTCACTCCATATTCTCCTGTGATTGGCCATTTTTGGCTGATGCTTGGTCCAATCAGGTAATATTCAGCCAATCGAAACTCAGCAAGCAGCACTCAAGAACCATTGAGAAATGGTTGATGTGGCACTTCACAGGCAGAGGAGATAAACGGAAGGAAGAAATTAGCCATGTGCTGGTATTCTGTGTCCCTCGGCTGCCCTCCTCTCTTCTCTGCTTCTCCACCTGGGAGGATGTCCTCTGTGGACGGTCTCACCTGGGCTCCCTTGCCATCTGGCTTCCAGATGGTTTGGCCAATGGGAGGTCCCGGCAGAAGACAGGAGGAGAGGTGGTGGGGGCATTTCTCCCTCACTCCCTCCTTTCCTCACTGCAGTTCTGCCGGAGGCTGTGTTTCTCCTGCTGGGTGGCCCCTCTTTCACGCCTCTGGCCCTCACTGGGCTCCAGTCACCTCACGCCCTCTTCTTGTCCTTCTGCACCCATGGGTGGTAATGGCTTCCTGCAGTTTTTAGTCTATGGGTGCTTCACCAGCCCTCTGTAAACAGTTCCTCCATTAAACTTTCTTCAGTTGAGCCCTTTCTGAGTGTGCCTCTGTTTCCTGCCAGGACCCTGACTGATACAAACTGTAATTAGTGACTAATATAAAATAATAAGGTTATAACAACTTCAAAAACATCTGGGTAGAGAGAATGTGACCAGGCCATTGCCAAGGGCAGGGAACAGAAAGCAGGTGGTGCAAAAAGCTGGATGTAGACAACTTGTGTGCACCTTTTCTGGGGTCTGGCTGGCTCTGGAACCACCTGTGGAAGGATGGACAGATGGACAGAAGACTGTCACTGTCACTGCCCCTGCGGAGGGCATGAGTCCCCTGAGCTGCAGCTCTAGATCTTGGCAGGGGGAGGGGTGGGGGGGGCGGGTCATGTTAGGTGGTTGCTGGAACTGTTTCCAAAGCAGGTAGGCCTGACAGCCTTGAGATGGGGCTCTGTAACCTTGGACATGTCACAGAGGTCCTTTCTGGACCTTTTCTGTCTGTTAGTAAGGGACTTGTTCTTTAACATCCCTTCTGGCTCAGACATTCCGAGGATCTGGTCTGCCATCATCAGTCTGAATCCCTCCTCCATCAGGGAGGTATTCCTTTGGGTCTTAGAGTCTCAACGAATCTCCATAAAAATAACAATCACACAGAGAGGGAAAATGCATTAGCTTTACATTGCTCAAACTTTCCCACTGGAGTGGAGAGGGAACCTGCACTGAGTTGGGGAAGAGCCTGAAGCATTTGTCTCAAGAATGAAATACCTTTGAAATCCCTCCTGTTATCTTTGAAAGCTCATATAAATTTCGCAATCTTTTCCATAACGCGTTTGCATTAGTTTCCATTAAAAATGGTGGTAGAGGCCCCAAATATTTGAGTAAAGATGACTGTCAAGGAAGGCCACCGCGTTCATCTTGTGGCTCTGCACACAAGATACAGCTCTGATCTCCAGTAGGTCTGTGTCTTTATTCCTGTCTTACCCCTAGGTTCTTCATGACATTTTTTTTTTCTTAAATTCCATATATATGTGTTAGCATACGGTATTTGTCTTTCTCTTTCTGACTTACTTCACTCTGTATGACAGACTAGACCTACTGGAGAACGGACTTGAGGATATGGGGAGGGGGAAGGGTGAGCTGTGACAAAGCGAGAGAGAGGCATGGACATATATACACTACCAAATGTAAGGTAGATAGCTAGTGGGAAGTAGCCGCATAGCACAGGGAGATCAGCTCGGTGCTTTGCGACCGCCTGGAGGGGTGGGATAGGGAGGGTGGGAGGGAGGGGAGACGCAAGAGGGAAGAGATATGGGAACATATGTATATGTATAACTGATTCACTTTGTTATAAAGCAGAAACTAACACACCATTGTAAAGCAATTATACCCCAATAAAGATGTCAAAAAAAAAAAAAAAAAAGATACAGCTCTGAGCACTTACCACTGGCGAGGAGCCCAGCATTGCATCCTCCTGAGCCCCTTCTGCCAGCAAGAGCACGGGAGTGCCGCCCTACAGGAGAGGGCTGGATTCCAGCCTCACCAATCGGGGTGGTGGTACTGACGTTTCCTACTTTCCCAGACTCCTGGAAGTGGGTTTAACCATCGTCCAGGCTGCAGGGGCTGAGAGTGGGGGGCTCTAATAGAGCTGCCCCACAGAGCCCCTTCTCTCTGAGACCAGGACTTGAAAGAGGAGAGAGATATTGCCAGCAGTGCCAGTGCTGGGTGGGGTGCAAGAGCAGAGGACTAGAGGGGGTGTGTGTGTGTGAGAGCATCCTGCAGACATCTAGGGTGCAGGGAGTAAGAGAGGCTGGGGCCTGGGTGAGAGGAGTACTGATGATTTTCTGTGGGACACACTACCTGATGTTACACACACACACACACGTGTGTGTGTCCGCCAAGCCTGCTGGGTACTCCTGCACCTGCCATACATGTGTGTGCATGTGCACAAGGGTGTTGCAGGCTCTGGAATCTACAGTCAAGCCTGCCCCAACTCACTCACCTAGCTCTTTACAAAAGTTACATTTCATCCATCCGTCCATCTATTCATTCATTCATTCATTCATTCATTCCACTACTGGGAGTGCCAGGACCTGGGCTGGGCTGGAGGACGTCAGGTACAAGCCTCTGCTGGTGGGTGAGGGCTGATACAATCTGTGATGATGATGGTGTATCGCGCCAAGTTAGACGCAGATGTACTTCTCAGGCTTTACAACAATACTAACCCTCTGCGAAGAGTAACGGGGGAGAGAAGAAAAGGCTTCAAACGGGCGATCAAGTGGCGCTGACTCTTGGCATACTGACTGGCTCCCCCACTTACAAGGCCAGCCGGCTGCGAGTCAGCGGGAAGCCCCTCCCGCGGGGGCCCTTGGAGAGGCAGCGCTCCAGCCTTGGCCGCCCGGGGGCGCTGTGGGCCCCCGGGAGCGGGCGGCTCTCGGGCTGCCGGCCGCGCTCACTTGCTCTGCGCTCACTCGCGCGGAGGTTTCCCCGCCGGCCGCGTCCCGTCCGCTCCCTGCGAACCAGGAGTGCCCCCTGCGCGCCCCCGGGCTCCGCTCCGGCCCGGCTGCGCCAGACGCAGCTCTGCCCGACGGCGACATGGGCGTCCCCCCAGTCCCGGAGGCTGGCAGCTGGCGCTGGGGGCCTGTGCTCCTCGCCTTCTTCCTGGCTGCCTCCCGAGGTAAGGTCGGCGGAGCCTGGGTGCTAGGGAGGAGCAACGGGAGAGCACAGCGGGGCAGGGTGGGGGGGGGGGTCCCAGGTCAGATGGGGGCGCCCTGGGAGCCCCCTTCAGCCTGCCGTGACCCCAGCCCGCGGCAGGGAGGCCGCTAGGACGGCTTGGCAGGGGCGGCGGCTCTCTGCCAAGTGCCCTGGCTGGGTGGTGGGCACGCGTGTATGCCGACAGCTGTCCAAGCAGCTGCCTGTCCAGACCTTCCCGACCCAGAGAGCCCAGGCACGAGTACCTGCTGCAGCACGGGAGATAAACACGGTGGAGACAGCCCAGTGTGTTCTAGTGGATGCCACTGGCTTTTGACACCTGTGGCATCTCCCTGCACCACCCCAGGACCCCAGGGTCTCACGAGGCGCCGAAGTTGTATACTCTCAGCCAGTGTCCTGTACCCTGGTGACGCTCTTGGTTGAGCCTTGGTGGGCACTGGTCAGTGCAGGCACTGGTCCACAGCTGGACATGGGCGCCCTCTGGTCCTTATCCTGAGGGTCTGATGGCTGAGAGTTGAGTGGTCAGCTGAGTCCCAGCATCGTAGCAAATCTGCAGCCCGGGGACTGGTGTAGGGCCTGCACTGGGGAGAATGTGGGACATTGCCCAGCTTGGCTGTGAGCCCCTTCTAGGTCCTTGGATAACTTATAGCATCTTTCGGGCCTCAGTTTCCTCAGCTCAAACACAGAAGCCATACACAGGGAGGTATCACTTTCCCCTTCCAAAGTCCAGACTGTCACGACTCTAGGTGGTATCCTGGTTAGGACACAGGGGCTCCTTGAGTGGGGGGCAAAGGTCCCGGGACCCACAGCCTGGCCCCTGCTTCTTGCCTGTCCAGGACTGAAGCAGCTGGATCTTGAGGGAAGAGGGGGCCGGCAGGCAGCCTATGGAACTAAACTTTAAACTTTTTCCCTGGGAAGGCTCAGGGAAAGTGTGAGTCATGCAGGGAGTCAGAGGGAGGCAGGAGGGAGGTGGGGAGCTTGGCAAGGGACCCAGTGGGTGAGTCAGAAGAGGAGGAAGGGGAAGACAGGGTAAGAGCAAGAGGAGGGTTCTGAGAGAACCTGGAAAACGCCTCAGAAACTGGGGAGCCTGCAGGCAGCATGGTATCTCAGCGCTGGGAGGCTGGCCTGGGCCTCCTATAAGGAGGAGGGAGCCCACACCCCACAGACGGAGATGCCTAAGCCCTGAACTGGATACTCCCCAGGAAGAGCCAAAGCGGGTGGGGGAGCAGTCTCGGCACCAAGGCCATGGCTCATGGCAGACAGGGCTTCCCAAAGGAGCAGTGGATGGTGGCAGGCAGGACCGGCCAGCATCCCACCCACTACAGACCGCCTGCCCTGCCCCCTCCTTTCCAAGTGACCCCGAGAGGCCCTTCAGTTTTCTTACCCCTACCCTGTCCTCCTCTGGCTGAGCTGCTCTCTGTTCAGCAGCCCCAGTTTGGGAAGCTGAGTTCCAGAGAACTAGGGCATAGAGAGCCAGCTTGCACAGAGCCAGTAGCAGATAGGCTCAGAGCCCCTCACTCCATATTGTCTCTTCAGCCAGGAGGCTTCACCCCCAGAAGTCTTGGCTACTTAAACAGCTTGGTACTCCATCTCTCCCTGGGCCCAGCTCAAGGAGATGATTAGGGTTTGAAGCAGCTTTCCACTGAAAGGAGTCAGGAGAGTTCTCTGAGTTGTGACCAACTCTGGGACTCGGTATTCCTAACTGAAATATGGGCGTGCTAAGGAATATTCATGCTGCTGCCCAGCACAGTGTGCAAGAAGGGGGATAAGAGATGGGGAGGCCTGCTTGCAGGCATGGTCCGGAGGGTGTCTGAGTTGGAAAGACCTGCTCACCGGCCTGCTGAGGTGCCGGGTGGCCCTGGGCAGGATTGCTCACTGTCAAAGCCTTGATGCTTTGGGAAGGTGAGATGGAGGTGGCTAGTGCAGACCTGTTTGTTCTCTAGCTCTTGGGGCTGGGCCAGCACCATGGAGAATGGTGGTGGTGATAATGGCGCACAGGAGCCTAGGAAAAGTTGCAGATACCCCTTTCCTGGGCCTGACCCAGGTTGAAATGGGTGGAGGGAGGCACCTAGGGAGCCAGGACCCAGTAGACCCCAAGGGTGGCAGAGCCTCTTCTTCCCCTATCGGCCTTCCCAGGACCTGTGGAAGTTATTGTCCCTGCCATGTCCTCACAGGCTGACCCAAGAGTCCCAAACTCTGGGACTAGCCCATGGAGGCGCACTGGGGCTGGGGAGGTGAGAGCCCACCTTCCCCTGTATGGTAAGCAGGGTTGCAGGGCCTTGTTGAGTAACCCAGTGGTGCAAGCCTCTGACGCAGCAGTGATCGGCTCTTAGGAAATCCACAGTCTGCTGCCCAGAGGCCCTGAGGTGGAGAGAAGCAGGCTTGAGGCCAGCCCATCGGCATAAGGGGGCCTCTACCCAATGCCAGGGGTACGCAGCAATACTGGGGAGCCCCTTGCTGAGCTGGGCTGCTTGCTCTCTCTTTCCCCCAAGTAGGGCAAAGGTTCCCTGCTGGGGCCTGACCTCCGTAGGAGAGGGTGGCCCAGGTGGGAGGTACACCGCTGGAAGGCCACCTCCCTATATGCACACACATATGGGTCTTAGGCCCAAGCAGACAGAGGGAAAGAAGAGAGGAAGAAAGGGGTCCTTGGTGCCCATCGGGTATACTGGCAGTGACCCCTCACCAGCACTGACCAAGCCCCAAAGACTGAGTTTGAGGTGCCAGGTTTTAAGCCAACCGTTCATCCAGGAGCAGTCTGGCCTCACCAGGGAGCTGCTGTGAAGCTTCTGATGGACCCTTGGATCCCCTTAGCAGCAGCGCGGGCATGACCAAGGCATCCTGTGTGAGAATGGAAGGGACCTGGAGTTGTGTGCCCTGCATGCCAGGGCTTCCCGTTCAACCCTGTCACTTGACAGTCTGGCTTGGGGAGTCAATCAGAGCTCCGTTCAAATCCCAAGATGGTCCTCTACTGCTCTGTCACTTTGCACAAGTTACTCAGCATCCGTGAGCAAGTTCTGTCATCTCTCCCATAGGGATGACGACAGCACCTCCCTCAGAGGGCTGCTGTGAATATTCGGTGCACACGTAACACAGAGCCTGGCATAACATAGCGCCTGGGGCCTGGTGAGCTCTGGCTGTGTAGTATTATTCTGCCTCTTGGCTTTTGGAGGCCACACGCCATTGGTTTACCATCTTAGCTCCTTGCTTCCTGCAGGGTCCGGTAGAGCGCCCAGAGCATGGGAAGGCATTGACCGGTTTCACTGGGACGGGACTCTCTAGAATCCTGGAGGTCTGAAGTGCTGGGCCCAGCCCTCTGTAGCACCTCTACACACTTACAGTCTGTAATGCCCATGGAGGTGCCTGCACATTCTCCTCTTAAAGTTCTCCAGAGATGGGGACTTTGCCACTTCAAGGCAAGCCGGACTCAGGGTTTCCTTGTCTTATTGGGGTCTTTCTTGCAACTGAGCTTAACATTCAGCCTGTTTACTCTGGCTGACCATCCCCAGAGAGAAAGACAACGGCCACCATTGTGTCCATCAGTAACTCAGTAATGAAGTTGCTCTGCTCCTGACCGAGCCAGCCTAGTCCCTCAACCTTTCTACATAGGATCTTACTTCCCATGGGGACCGGGGGTCAAGCCCTGTCTCTGCTGTTCACTTACTGTGGGACCACAAACACACACGCCGCCTTTACCTGAGCCCTGGGAAGGCTGGGTAACAGGGTCTCGGCAACGCTGACCACTCACTTCGGAAGGGTAATCCCATGATGGTGTTTCCTGACCTTCAGTCCATTTGTTCACCACTTTGGGGATTTCTCCAGTGTCTGCCCATCATCATATGTACCCTCTTTAAATCTACTTATTCTTTGACTTAAGTAAATAGATTTTAAAAGGAAACTTTGTATCACTGCCATAAATGGAAAGCCAGTGTCACTTGCCATAAATAGAACAAAATCATAAAAGTACATAATAGGAAAACCAAATAAGGTAAATTCTAGTTGGAAACTATAGCCTGGGGAAGGCTCCAAGCCTGCTGTACCTTGCAGGAAAAAGAAAAAAAAAAAGAAGAGCTTAGCACATAATAGAGATGTTTTGAAGACACACTGGCATCAAACTGGGACTTTCTCTTTGATGTAATCAGGACTGAAAGAGAATCGAAAAGGGAATAACCTTCGCTCTATGTGATTCAGTGTTATTTAATGCCATAAAACTGAAAGTAAAACTACCTATGCTGTAGATGCCGTCAGCTCCTCTCCATTGAAAAAGAAAACTCACCACTGTGAGGAGTGGCGGCTGGGGGCAGGGGACAGTTCAGCTCTCCTGGAAGAAGGGAGAGATGACAGTGCTCATCCTAAAAGGCCAGGACAGGGTCAGAAGGCCTTTCTGGGCTTCTTCCAGGCCCCAATTCTCCCAGCCCCCGTTGCCTTCCCCAAATAAATACAGTGGCTCTAGCTGGGTCCTCTCCTCATGCTGGGGCCAACGGGCTGTCCCAACAACTACGGAGAGGGTGGGAGAGGGAGCCTGCAGCCTCCCTGGCCAGGGCAGCCTGTCCATCTGCAGGAAGGAGGTGGGGCCTCTGGTCAATCCCTGGCTACTTCTACACCCCAGACCTCTGGAGCGAGACGACCTGGGTTCAGACGCTGGCACCACCGCTTGCTATTCATGAGACTCTGTACCAGTTACTTAACCTCTCTGTGCTTCAGTTTCCTCATCTGTAAAGTGGAGACGATAACAGTACCCACCATATAGGGAGGGAGGATTCAATAAGCGACTCCACATAGAAGTGATCAGAACGGTGCCTGGTGCAGAGTTAAGAGCCTGCTACTACACCATTACCACCGAGCCTCCTGCACTGAGGGTAGGGCACAAAGAGATTTGAATCTGAACCTTAGGAAGTCTTCGCAGCACAGGATCTTGAGGGTAGCTGGCTGGAGCTGGTCGTCTGGGCTACATACAGCGTCCTCAGG